TATTTTTATTTAGTTTAAAATGTTTAAAAATTTCTCTTGAGATACTGTGTTTACCCGTGTGTTATTTAGAAGTGTGTTGTTTAATATTTCTAAGTATTGTAATATTTTCCAGTTTAGTTAGTTGTTTCTAGTTTAATTGGATTGTAGACTAAGAGCAGATACTGTATCTTTTCTACACTTCTAACTTTGTTAAGGTATATCTTGTGGGCCAGAATGTAGTCTGTCTTGCTGAAAATCCATAGGCATTTCAGGTGATTCTGTATTCTTCTAACACTGCATACAGCAGAGCATAGATGTCAGACTTACAGCTGATTGTTGTTTAGTTCACTAATTTTCTGTGGTGGTCTGCCTTCTAAATCTCTCAGATTCTGATGGAGGACAGTTGAAGTTTCTAACTGTTCTGAATTTATGCATGTCTCTTTGCAGTCTTGTTAGTTTTTGACTGATCAAATTCTTGTGCCTTTCTTGTGGAATCAATACTACACCCTTTCTTATCCTTGAAAATTCCCTCACTCTAATGTCCAAAGTGTCCAAAATGAATGGAGTGAGACTCATTTTCCTGTCGATCATATTAGTGGTGTATATCTTTTCCTAATCATTGAGTGCTGTTACATTTAAGGTGGGTTTTCTGTATATAATGTATCAATGGCTTATGATTCAGACTCCTGATGTGTGTCTTTTAACTGCTGCGTGTAGATCTGTGTACTTCTCTCTGCCATCAAGCAGCCACTCCTGTAACAGATGTACATTGAGTTTCCTCTAACTGTATTTACTTCTGACCCTGTTTAAAGATAGCACTAGACACAGGTTGTAAGTTCAGTTCTTAGAATTTCTACTTTAGGCCCACTTGCAAACATGAGGCCTTTAGACCCTGTTAGCTGATAGGAAAATTGAGATTCCTGTTGAGATAATCAGTCTTCCCTAAGGGTGAACACATGCACATAGCACTAAGTGGATTTAGTACATTGTATTTGTATATTTAGATGTGAGTGTATGTGTGTCTGTGTGTAATATAAGTGTGATAATAAGAAAGAAGCCATGATTTTGAGAGCAAGCAAGGGAGGGCGGTATACATGGAGCGAATTAGAGGGGTAAAGGAGAAGAGGGAAATGATGCAATTATATTTTAATTTAAAACATCAAAAAGTTAATAAAGTAAAATTAATCTGAGATTTCCACAACCCTCTTTTTAGGGTTTTATGACTTGCTGTACTGGCTCACAAAACTCAGAAACTAACACTGTACTTACATTCACTAATTTATTACAAAGGCTACTTTAAAAGGTATAAGTAAGTGGCTCAAAGAAGAGGCATTAGGACGAAGTCTGGAAGGAGCCCAGGTACCAGAGTTCCGTCTGTCAGGATTTTGGTGTGCCACACTCCTAGCATGCATGAGTTCTTACAACGCTTTGCTTAGTACACCATATTTGGCTTCTCAGAAGTTCTCAGCCCAGTCATTTTAATGGAGACTTCATTGCATAGGTTTGATTGCCAATGAGGTTGATGAGGAGAATCTACAAGAGCATACCTTCCTTTGGGATCTCTCTGGACTGGAAAGGAACTATAACCTATTCTCTGAGTTTCTGTAGCCTGCTTTGATAAAGTGGTTATGAGTCAGTAATCATGATTAAAAACCAACATATATGTATCATAATGTCACATAGTCCTTTATATAAATGACATGGTAACCACAAACCCCAAAATCCTAAAGATATTAGAAATAAAGGGTGAAATGAAACCTGTTCAAAACATTTTTAAAATGGAAAAGTGAAGACAAGAAGAAACACAGAGCTGTAAGACAAGTAGAAAACAGGTGACTAAGTGGCAACAGTAACTCTCTCCTTACCAATAAGTAAGTGACTCAGCAGGAAAGAATGCTTGTTCATTTCTCAGAGGACTGGAGTTGATTTCATGCATCCATGTACTATCATCCCACCACACTCTATTCCAGTGCAGGGAATCCATGCCCTCCATTGACCTCTGTAGATAGGTATTGGGGTTCTCGGCTGGTAATGCACAGTTCTCTGGGCTTTGACAGATGTTTGTTGTTACATTGCTATATAGAATTTCCAGGAAGAATAGGTTCACTGCCTCCCACAATGATTTTACAGCCACTTGAGACTTCAAATATGTTTTGTTCAGTGTTTTTCCCGTTGGTTATTTCATCTACAAAGAAAATTTTGTTTCCTTTGGATATGTTTCAATTTTTATTTTCTTGTCTTGCTGGATTTGGATAAGACTTCTAGTAAAATTCTGAGTCGGGTGATGAGAAGGAAACCCTGGTTCTGCAATCTTGGGGTTAGGTACTGTGTTTCTTACCATTAAGTGCGATGTTAACTCCAGGCTGTTTTGAAGATTTTTTTTTCCTTTTACTCAGTTTTGTGTTGTTTGCTTTTGAGGAGAATTCTCTAGCCTCAGTCTCCCAAGAGCTGGGGTTCAAGGTGTGCATCATCAGGTACGTTACACGTATTGACCAGCTTGGAAAGTATTTATTTTATTTATCATATATGTATGAGTGTTTTTCCTGCATGCATGTATGGTGTATGTGTACCATCTATGTGCCTAATGCCTACAGAGGCCAGAAGAGAGGGTATCAGATGCCTGGGACTGGAGATAAGACAACTGCAAGCTTCCATGTGGGGCCTGGGAATAGAACCAGGACCTCTGCAAGAGCAGTAGCTGCTCTAAACCACTAGCCATCTTTTCAGCCTATTGAAAGTATTCTTTTTAAAGTTTCTTTTGGTTTCTACTTTGCTAAAAGTTCTTGTCATTATTATTGTAATATATTTTCATTTATATTAATGGTCATATCTTTATTAATATTATTGAAAATACTCATCGATTTCAAATGTTGATCGAGCTTTACATACCAGAATTGTTTTTTTAAATAAGGACTCATCATGTAGCCTTGTCTGCCTGTGAAACTCACCGTGTAGAGCTTACTTGCCTTGATCTCATGGAGATCTGACTGTTTCTGCTTTCCAGGTGCTAGGACTAAAAGTATGCACTCCATAAGAGGAGTAAATATTTTTACATTCCCACTTTAAACTTTACATATTTTATATATGTATCTATATATCATATGCAGACTTAAACAGTTAAGATTCATCTGAGTCACTTATCCAAGTTACAAAGCTCTAAAATCTCTTTTATGGAAAATAAATTGATTTATAGTCATACATGCTCATTGTAGCTCATTGAATTCATTCTATTTATTTATTTATTTATTTTTCCTTTTTATCGGTTGTTTTCTTTATTTACATTTCAAATGTTATCCCCTCTCCTGGTTCCCCCCCCCCGAAACCACCCATCCCATTCCCCCTCCCCTGCTTTTATGAAGGTGTTCCCCCCCTACCCACTCCTGCCTCCCCGCCCTGGCATTCCCCTACACTGGGGCATTGAGCTTTCACAGGAGCAAAGGCCCCTCTTCCCACTTATGCCTGTCCTTTGCTACATATGCAGCTGGAGCCATGGGTTGCTTTATGTGTACCCTATGGTTCAGGTGGTTTAGTCCCTGGGAGCTCTGGGTAGAGGTGGAATCTGGTTGGTTGATATTATTGTCAAACCCCTATGGGGTTGCAAACTCCTTCAGTTCCTTCAATCCTTTTCTCTAACTCCTCCATTGGGGACCCCATTGGGGACCCTGTGCTCAATCCAATGGTTGGCTGTGAGCATCTGAGCATCCACCTCTGTATTTGTCAGGCTCTGGCAGAGCCTCTCAGGAAACAGCTATATCAGGCTCCTGTCAGCAAGCATTTCTTGGCCTCCACAATAGTGCCTGGGTTTTGTGACTGTATATGGGATGGATCCCCAGGTGGGGCAGTCTTTGGATGGCCTTTCCTTCAGTCTCTGCTCCACACTTTGTCTCTGTACTTGCTCCCATGAGTATTTTGTTCCCCTTTCCAAGAAGCACTGAAGCATCCATACTTTGGTCTTCCTTCTTCTTGAGCTTCATGTCATCTGTGAATTATATCTTGGATATTCCAAGCATTTGGGCTAATAGCCACTTATCAGTGAATGTATGCCATGTGTGTTCTTTTGTGAATCCATTCATTTTAATATATCATAAAACTCTAGGGAGAAACACTTAAAAATTCTTAAGTATTTTTGAGAAACAAGGAAATGAGTTTTGTTTAGTATGTTAAAATTATTTTGTTAAGGTTTTTGAAACTTGATAAGTTTTATGTATTTATGGGGTATAGTGTGATATTTTTAAGTATAGTCAAATCATAAAATTATGATCAAATTATTCATGATCATATCATCACACAAAATATTTACCATTTGTGTTGGAAGCATTAAAAATATAACTATTTTGAAGCAGGAGGAGGGGGGATGGAACAGGTGGTATCTGGGTGGGGGGGAAATAAAGAAAGGGGATTACATCTGAAATGTAAATAAAATATCCAATAAAAAAAGAAAAAGAAAAAGTATATAACTATTTTAAAGCATATAGTAAATTATTGCCAACTATAATCATTTTCTTCTGCTTTGGAATATCAGAAACTATTTTTGTTATTTAACTTGATATATTTGTTTGTACCTGATAACCAATTGTTCTCTCTTATCTTCCCACTTCCTATAAACCAGATCTTTAAAATACACTAAAAACAATTTTTACTTAATTTAATTATTATATTCAAAGCTTGTCAATACCTATTTAATTTGTATCAAATAACATTTAAAATATATTTACAAATAACAAGCCATTCTCAATTATCTTTAGCATGATAGATGTTTGGAATTTACCTGTTGCCATCTAAGATGTTAATAAACCCAGAGTCTATTAGAAATCTTTGGAATGCAAAGATTTAGAATCTGGCAATAAGAGGCTTTGAAAATAATTATTTTGAATTTTCTGGGTTATCCTTTCTCATAACCTGACTCCCTTTTGAATATTTAAAAGAAGAAACAGCAGAGGTTGAGTACCGAGCATAATGAATGTTTGCTTAGTGTTGTAATATGTGAGAATTGATAGCCCCCTTTTTTTCCTTCTCTGCAGTTCCCAAAGCTCCAGAGATTGACCCAGTAGAGTGTTTGGTAGCTGACAACTCTGTAACTGTAGCTTGGAAAATGCCTGAAGAAGATAATAAAATTGACCATTTCATAATGGAATATAGGAAAACGAACTTTGATGGACTCCCACGTGTAAAGGATGAGCGATGTTGGGAAGTGATTGATAACATCAAGGGTACTGAATATACATTGTCAGGTAACAGGACAGCATTTCATGAATGTAATCCTTAGGAAATAAGTGGAAATAAAAAACCAGTTTGTTATTTTAAATGATAAAATTGTTTTATCAGCAAAATTGCTGTTTTTAGATATTTGCTATATGAATGAATTTTTGTTAAAATATCAGTAAAACTTTTAATTACTTAATATTTGCAACCTACTAAAATAGTGTATGTAAAGCAAATATAAAAGGATGTTATGGAAGCAATATTTCAGAGCCCTCTTTCCCCCTGCTTGCTTTCTTTGCTGTTTGTTCAGGCAGACTCTCCATGTAGCCCTGGCTGGCCTGCAGCTCACGGAGCATCACAGCCATCTTGAGCTCTGCCTCCAGAGAGCTGGAGTTAGGGCATGTTCCACTATGCCCAGCTAACCTTTCATTTTCATGTTTTGACTAAGTAAAGAAACTATTTATTTTTAAGTCTACTCAGACCTCCACATTTCAGGGGTACCATAACCACCATTGTTTTCTCTGCCTTAATTGCTTAGCTCCACATTAGCCCAGAATTGGGACTTTGCTAAGGCCTTTTTGTGTCAGCCTATTGAATGCTTTTTAGAAGGTATCTTAGTATAATGCGGTCTTTTCAGTGTGTTCTGTGCAGAGTGGGATACATCACGAGCTGTCCTATTGAGTACTAGTTCCTTTCCCGGAGCAGGCATTCTGTGTAGTAGACACGAAGTGCTTATAGCACACTACAGTTAATCAGCACACCACGTGTCACTTAATCCTGAATGGTTGGAAATAGTTTGTCATTGTTACTTTACAGATAGAAAACGGGTCAGTCAAGTTTTAAAGGTTTTATAGTTAGTAATATTTGGACTAAGAGTTTAGTCCAGGTGTAACTGCGCAAGTTATGTCAGTCTCTGCTTTATTTCATCTTTCGTGTAAAAATGGTATTTCATTTTTATAAAATTGCACTGACTGGTTTCGTTGTCAGTGTGATATACGCTAGAGAAGAAGGAGCGTCAGTTTAGGACATGCTTCCATGAGATCCAGCTGTGAGGCAATTTCTCAGTGATAAATGAGAGAGGGCCCAGCCCACTGTGGTAGTGGCATCTCTGGGCTGATAGTCGTGGATTCTATAACAGGCAGGCTGAACAAGCCATGGGGAGCAAGCCAGTCAGAAGCACCCTCCATGGCCTCTATATCAGTTCTTGCCTCCAGGTTCCTGACCCAATTGAGTTCCTGTCCTGACTTCCTTCGGTGATGAACAGCAGTGTGGCAGTATAAGCTGAATAAACCCTTCCTCCCCAACATGCTGTTTGGGCATGGTGTTTTGTCAAAGCAATAAAAACCCTGACTAAGACAAACATACATTTCATATACATATAAAAATTCCTTAGGGTATTTATTTTTTAAAGAAATGATGAGTATGCTGTTGTAAATTGTGACATCTCTTCCTTGAATGAAATGCTACAGGTTTTGGTTGTTGCTACTATTGCTGTCTTTGTTATTGGTTTGTTGTGATTTTATTTATTTATTTAATTAATTTACGTTCTCTGGAGATAGACTCTTGCTTTGTAGCCCAGGTTAAATGTAACTGTTGATCTTCCTGTGATGACTTTCCAAGGGATGATCAGGGGTGTGCCACCACACCTAGAATAATACCACCTCCAAAGAAGCTTGATATGGTACCATTTTATTAATCACTAGGTGGAAAATGTTGGTAATCGTGAAAATATTTATTTTGAAGAAAATATTAGATAAGTAATTATTCTTATTTTCATGCATTACCATTCATTTAATATAAATCTGTACTCTTCTCAAGTAAAGGGATTTCTAAGAAGGAAAAAATATCTCTTTGATGTACTCTCACACTTTTGGGAAGGAATTCTTTACTTTTTATGACAAAAAAACCTTTCATTGTATTTCAGGCTTAAAATTTGATTCAAAGTATATGAATTTCAGAGTGAGAGCATGCAACAAAGCTGTGGCTGGAGAATACTCTGATCCAGTGACCCTAGAGACCAAAGGTAAGATGGGTAGCCATGAGTACTTCAGCAGACAGCACTTACCTTCAGAAGTTATTCATGACTTTGTCAGAGTCATTTCCTGTGTAGCTGGACTTCCCACTGCCTAGTGCCTACCTCTGGCCTTTGCAATGTAAGAAGTAAGAGGCAGAGGAAATGGGACTATGGACATAATGATTTTCCTTAGATTCTTCCGTTGTGAAGGTGAGAGGACAACATGGAGGAATCATTTCTCTCCATTTGTGGATCCCAGAGATCAAATTCAGGTCAGCAGGCTTGGTAGCAGGTGCCCTTACCTGCTAAACCATCTCACTGTCCCGAGATGATGCAGTTATATTTGCCTCTGGGTGTTTAGTTCACATTTTAGGTTAGTAAATACATAAGCACTGCTGAAATGTGTCAGAATTGAAAATTAGCAACAAAGAAATTCCTTCTATTCTCCCCAAATTTTCTCCCAGTTATTATTGTCTCTATAGTTTATTAATAATTACATAGCACTCATGGTTTTTGGTCATTAAGAAGATCACTTTGATAAGCCACTTCTATATATTATTGATATCCATAATGCAAATGAAGAAAGTTGAAGTATGGTTATATTTACCACAGACCCTAGATCTGCCCTAGATGAGTGTTAGAATCTAGTTCCAGGATCTAGGCCAGCCTTTATTGAAGGCTTCTAACCCAAGTTATACTCTCTGAGAGTTCAGATTTATGAATGTCACCTCTTGTAACACAGAAGAATTTTTAGCTATTTACCAATTTGAAAGCCATTCTGCTAGATATCCTCCCACTTACAAGGTGATAATGGTCTGAGTGTACTTCATGAATTAGATGTACATTGTAGTCCATACTTGAGGCTTGCAGCATTCCACTGACTTCTAGTTTATTTCTTATACATCTAAATAGATACAAATTCTAGAAACTTGGTATTATCCAGATGATAACATAAACATATATCAGAACAAAACTAAGTAAGTGCTAAAATTTGACCCAGGCCCTGTGCATGGTAGGCAGGTGCTTGAGCATTCAAGGCCTATGGATTATTAATGAACTCAGAGTAATGTTTGTGGCATAAAGACCTAGAAAAGTTCTCATTTGAAGTAATCTGAATTAGTAAACAATTTTACATGAGAATTATACATAGCTTAGTGAAGAAATGTAATTACTTTGAACTATCTGTTATCAAACTGAGATACTAGTTTTTAAAAAAATGTTTCCATATTCAAAGCCTTGTCAAATTCCCGAGCAGATCATCTTTTCTGTGTGGCTTGAGCTCCTTTTGGCCCTTGTCAGGAAAGACTGCATTGCTGTCATTGTTCACCCTGAGGAGCCTCTGGTCTTTGCCTTGTTGCTGTCCTTATGTGTTGACTCTTTAGTGAGCAAGCTTGGACCTAACTGGGCAGTGCTATAGAGTGTATGAACGTTAAGTTAGAAATAAACAGTTGGCTGTTGTTTCCCAGCACAGCTGCTCCTTCAGCAGTGTCTGGATGTTACTACGCACTCTTGATTGGTCCTGGGCTTCACAGACAGAGATTAAGTTGATTCTAGGATTTCATGGAAGTAACCCCCTGAAGTTAGCCTAGAGTAAAATATAACCCAGTAACAGTGATTCTGATCATTGGGGAGTTTGAAATAAAATTATTTCTCATGTGACTAAGGATCATAAAATTTCTGGGATTATTTTGTAGCATTGACATGACTATTAATGAAAACATATGCATTGTAGAAAAGGTCCGGATTTTTAAAAAGTGACCATTGAACACTTGTTTACTAAGTTATTTGGCTAGTTCCTGCTATTTTTGACCACCCAGTACCAATCGGTAAACCCACAGAGAACGGAGGGAAGAGGCAGTGAAAATGAAATAGCTCAGATACATAAAACTATAATTCAGCCAGCATTGTTTACTTCTGTCCCTTTAATCTGTGTAGCATTATTTCTTCCCATATAAAATTTGTAAAAGTGATGAGTACTATAAGTTTCAATTATATTTTCCCCTCCTTTCTGGTAAGATAAATGATATTACTAAATAACAGAACTTATTATTCCAACCTCAAATCATAGTGTCTGTGATTCAGCTTTATAGTACAAGAGACAGGGGTAACTTTCAAGGAAGTGAATCATTTCTCAGCCCCTGGTCTCTAGTCTTTTTGCTTCTAGTGTGATCTCTGTCACCTTAGAGAAAATGTGTGACTTAACAGAGGTCGTGTCTGTTAAAAGAAAGAGACTAAACATGGCATACTTGTGGAAACCTATGCCCTTTTGATTGGATGTTTTGGTATTTTGTAAATTGGTTTGAGGTGGTGCCTTTTCCTGCTACCAAGGTGCCTGGTGGCTCTGAACTCCATCATAACAAATATTAGGGAACAGCCTAGGATTCTTCTTTCTTTTGACCTTAGGGTTTTAGTAAGCTATGGGCAATGGATGGCACTTCCATGTAAAAGCCAAGTTTTCTTTATTTTAAAAGTATAAATGCTCTAGCTATATAATCTAATGGCTAACATCTAGGGGATGCCTGCGTTTCTATAAAACAGTTGATTTTGGAAATGCCTCAGTGTATGTACCTATTAAAGAATTCTGTTTTCATTTTGCTGAAAAGCTGCATTCTTCCTCTGTTTACTTCTGCTTAGATGCAGCTTTTGAAAGTGATTGACTTCCTTGTGTAGTGTGACATTTAGTAGAGCTGTGCAGTCAGTAGATTCTTATTCAGATGTTTTATAAGTGAGACAATGAACAATGCCTGTGATGCATGTTGAAACTGAAGTACTCTTTCCAGAATCAGGGTGAAAGGATCCACTGGGCCCTATGTGCTTATCTTGTTTGATGATGAATATTTCACAAGTTTATAAATGTCTTAGCTAATTTAAATAATATCTTTAAGCAAAGTAGTGTACTGTAAAGAAAATGAATATTTCTTTTAATCTACAATTACCAAAATTTTGAACTTTTAGCAGGAGATATAGCAGGAGCAAATGAACTTGTAACTAAGTAGGTGATACCTTGTAAAGTAGTTTGGGAATTTCATTACAAAATAGAAGAAACAGCATTGTATAGCTGTTGAGTCACTGATTTTAATGATTTATTTTCTCAGTTTCTAGAAAGGGAATCTAATACCATATTTCACCAATTTCCTCAATTATAACTTCTAAAGATTTTAAACAGTACTTATATGTATTATAGTTTCATTGCTGTAAAGAGACACCACAACCAAGACAACTTATAAAAGACAACATTTCATTGGGACTGGATTACAGTTTCAGCGTTCAGCCCATTTTCATTATGATGGGAAGCATGGCAGTACCCAGGCAGGCATGGTGCTGGAGAAGGAACTCAGAGTTCTCCATCTTGATTCAAAGGCAGGCAGAAGAAGACTATTACTTCAGAGACCTGTCTCCACAGTGACATACTTCCTCTAATAAGGCCACATTTCCTCCAATAAGGCCACACCTCCTAATAGTGTCACCTTGCATGGGCCAAGCATATTTAAAGCACTACAATATAATTCTCTAAAATATCAAATAATATGAAAAGCATGGTTGTTTAATATTTTTGTTTGCTTGCCTTATTTTCATTAGATGTGTTTTTCCTCTACTATGTCAAACAAGTTATCTGTCATCTGACTCAGTTCCTTTGCTTATGTTACCAGGGCTCCAATATATTCATGCATCCAGTGATGGCATGGCATTCAATATATATCATTGGAACTAATGAGAATTTAAGTGTGAATTTGTTAATAGTAAAGCTTCAGAGAGAATACTTGTGCTGTTTTTATATTATCATCTTATATACTATATTGCTTTTTCTTCCTTTATAATTCTACCAGTTCTTCCCATTTAGTCAAAACAATCCACCAAGAAACAAACTGATGACTCTAATACCATGAAATTCTGATTATTGTATACTAATGGAAAATTCAGCAGAAGTAGAGATGCTATTGGCACTTCAAGTTCACTGTACTTGGTTAGTGTATATGCAGAGAAAAAAATAATTGGATAGATGGGATTTATAAGCTACAACCAAAGGATTGAGAGGGTTTTTTTTGTTTTTGTTTTTTGTGCAAGGGCTAGGGATTGGAACTTTTTTCTCTGCACACAGAGTTGGCTTGCTTGAGTAAGAAATAACCTGACGGGTATGTTTCAGACAGTGGAGATGGCTTATATTTGTTAAACATTGTCTTGGGCAGCACTTAACTTCAGTCTAGATAACTCATCATCCCATTTGAACTTGAAAGTGGAAGATTGCTGTGTAGAGTGGGATCCCACTGGAGGAAAAGGCCAAGAAAGTAAAATTAAAGGAAAAGAGAATAAGGGCAGGTAAGTCAGTTCACTAAATCCATTTTGTGGCTAAATGCTTGCACATTGATTTTCTCTGACCATAACTGATACCAATGTTCTTTCTTATTTTATAGACAGGTGTTTGTATGTTTATTCTTATTTGACAGTAATTTACAATTTTAATGTTTATTCTGCACAGCAATATGATTTCTGATATGTTAGTAACTCAGAAGTGAAGAATACAGTATCAGCTGTCAATACTTGAATTTGTGGTTAACATTTTTTATATTTTTTTTCTTTCTTTCATAATTGTTTCATACATTTTATTTTAGCATTCTGATTTTTAATGTTATAGATACACCAATCTGAACTAGCTAAAGGAAAGTTTCTCTACATCTGTCTAGGCTTAGACAGGTCATCTGTCTTACCGAAAGATGGCTGCACTAAATAACAGCTTTGAGCATTTCTACCCAAGCCTTCTGCTGAAGAGCAATCCAGTGAACTCAAGGCTTTGAGAACCTTTTGGTTTTGCCATACCTTTCCTAGACGAATCAGAGTATGAAAGCCATAAGTTTTTAATGGTAAAGTTTTGATCAGACTGATGGCAAATGTTTGTAAGTTACCACAGTGAATCAAAACCCCTCAGGAAGCATTCAGGCTAGTTCTGTTGTAAGATGTTACATATAAGCTGTAAAGGAGTGTCTTAACAGTTGCCTGTTTTTATCTGACAGTGTCCATGTTACTTCACTGAAGAAACACACAAGGTGACGATCTGTGTCTGTCTAGTTCTAGGACTTAGTATCTAGCTTGGCTGAATAATTCTTTAACCAATAAGCAGGTGCCATTGCAGCAGCCTTCATAAGTTAAAATGCTCCTTTGTGTAGACTGTCTCTATTGGTAGCTTGTGTTTTGAATTTACAGCATTGTAGTGTACTGCATTTTTTTGAGTTATATATGATAACAATATGTGCTCTGCTTTAAAAAGACTATTTCTCATCTCTTTTTACCCTGCTTTTACTTATACTTGCCATCTTTCCTGTCTCACTGTATTCAGTAACATTATTGATCACTTTTATATGTATTTGATAGGAGGTAGGTAGACTTGGAGTATATAGAATACTATAGAAATAGTTAAGCAATTTCAAAAGTGTCAAAAATAATGAACATCATTGATAAAATTATTTAGACAGTGCTAAAAATAGAGATCATTTCAGGTTGCTTAAGTAAGATGATACTTCTGTGAAGATAATCATGTATCTTTACCAGCCTGTACTGTCTTTTCAGAGTTATCTTTCCTTTTTGGCTTATTTACTTGGTCTTGGTGAAAGTGATGGCGTTTGTGTTATAAAATGCTGTTGAACTTGATAGACTGCATAATGCTTTATTTGGCAGCTAGGAAAGTTGTAAACTGAATTTAGCATTCAGCCTGTGTTATGTCTTTCTCTTTTCTTTCCTTTTAAGATTATTGCGTATGTTGGCTGTTTATAGAATGGTATGAGTATCCCTTATCTGAAACACTCAAGATTCAAATTATTTTAGATTTTGAAATATTTGCACATATATATTGCACATATATAAAGTTGGGACTCAATCTAAACTCAAAAGTATTTGTTTCATGTGTACCTTATATTAATAGCCTGAAAGCAATTTTGTACATTTTTAATATACCAGTGTTTTGACTGTGACTTGCTACAGGTCAGATATAGAATTTTCTATTCATAACATTTATCAGTGCTCAGAGTTTTCAGGATTGATGTATTTCAGATTTTTGGATTAGGACTTCTCAACATGTATATGTTCATCCTTTTCATAAGTGTTTGTTGTAGAACATATGATAAATATTATGGGGCTCATGGGGATGAACATTGCCCTTACTTTCACTAATCTTGGTCTAAGTCATATAGAAGAGCTATGTACACATGAAGCAATGATACAAGATGGTGGTTATGTACAGTGATGAGCTAGAAGAAAGATGTTCAGAGCTGCCGGATGTTGAGGTAGTCAGTCAGAACTATGTGCCATACTACTGTAACAGGCAAGGCTTTAGTGACTTCCTGTGATCGTGTAAGAAAGAGGGCACAAAGCGAAGGATGCTCACTCACAGTGTGTTCCATTTTCCTCAGTTGAATGGCACCAGGTGAAAGTCAGGTGAGTTAAGACAGCTCATAGGCAGAGGATCTCATTTGTAGAAAGCCCCAAACAGAAGGTTTGTATTGGCTTATAGAGTGCTAAAGTTGTAGGGAATAAGAAAAGATCAAAAGAGGAAAGAGCATCGAGATATGTAACAAAAACTGGCTTCTTCATATGCACACTTAAAAAAAAAATCTCTGTATGGTGCTTCTTTTCCATAAGAACAGGTCTCTAAATCAATGGTTTTCATCCTTCCTAATGTTGTTACCCTTTAATACAGTTCTTCATTTTGTGGTGATCCCAACCATAAAGTTATTTTTATCACTTCTTCATAACTGTAATTTTGCTACGATTATGAATCATAATGTAAATGTCTGTGTTTTCCAGAGATCTTAGGTGACCCCTGTAGAAGGGTCATTTGACCCCCAAAGGGGTCTCAACCCATAGGTTGAGATCTAAGTATACAGTAAATAAAGCTGAGTAGGCCATGAATATTGATTGGTGCTGAGCTTGGTTTTATATAAGGGATAATCCCTCTAGAAAGTCTGAGGAACTTGTTGTTCTGCACATGTGATATGAGCAGGGTATCTACAATACTGTCTGACACCAAGGCTCCCCACTCATGCCTCCTGGAGGCCCACCTGGTAAAGTCTGGGTAGTTGTGATTGTGTGTGAAATGTCTCAGTAGGGCCAGGATCTAGAGTATAAAATTAGCATAGTAGGGGCTGGAAGACCTTTATTCAAGAAGTGGTATGTAGACTATTCAAGTATTCAAGTAGTGGTATGTAGTGGGAGAATATGTAGTGTTTCACTGTGCAATGAAGGGAAACAAGAAGACATACAATAGATAAATAATCTAAAAATTAAAGAACACTTCAGCTAGCATGTTTAACTGTATAATTAATTGTGTGTGTGTGTGTGTGTGTCTAAGTAGCCTTATCACCACAAGGCTAGCCTATGAGACTAAATTGCTTGTAGACAATAAGAAAAATGATTAATTACTGAAAAGCGGGTAAGACAATTTGCTGTAGGGGCTACACAGATACTTAATCCAGTTAAGTCACCAAGGGACCTTTAAGATGGGTTGAGGATCCTGTTCTGTACAGAAGATGATAGCTACTGTCCTTACAAAGAATGTACCGCAGAGTTGGAAGGGCAGGCCACTAAGGTGGAAGCCCTACTCTAATTTAACCTAACTGAAGCTAAACTGTCAACCTCAGCAGTTATCTCTTTTCTGTTTTTTCATGCTTCCTTGTATTTCTTTACTACTGGTAAGTCATACTTATTTTAATTTTGTTTCTTTGGGTTTTTAGATGAGCTCTTAATATATTTTGAAGCCAGGCTAAGTGAATCATTTCTTCTTATTTCTATGTATTATTATCCTCTTGCTGTTTTATTCCTCCTAAGCATCTGGTATATAGTTTTCAGAATGAGTTTCTTTCCAGCAGACTGTTGGACCTACCAGTGGAGGAGTAAATAAACTGTGGGTATTTTAGGAAAATTTCCTGGTTGGTTCTGATTTTATTGTGTCTTTTCTGTTTATATCAATACTTTGTTATAAAAATCCTAAAGACCCATATTTTTTTGCAGTTTTAAGACTCTAAGAATATAGCTAGCCCTTCACCATTTAATACCATATTTTAGTAAAAGTACTGTATATCTCATTTGTGCTTTAGACACAGGGATGAGATGTGATTCCTGTTCACAGTTCCTTTCTTTACCTAAGATACTTAATAGAAAGGCCCTCCACCTACCATATTAACCATGTATTGAAGCATCACATAGTAGGCTGTGTGAGAGTTGTCTTTTCATTCTCATCTGTTAGTCCATGTGTGTGGTAAGAGAAGCATTTACTTACTTCTTTGTCAGGCTGTGAGAAGTCGCAGAACTCTGCTCTGGGTGTGGGGAGATCTCAGTCTGAGGTCCCACGGGGGCAGAGCTCTTGGGTCAGGAGTCTCCAGCCAAGGCAGCTGGTGGGAGACCAGTGAGAAAGACTGAGAGGGGGGGTCATATGGGCTGGACCACAGCTGAGTGGGACAGGGGAGAGAAGCTCCAGTGGTGCCCCACTGGGCAGAGTTTCTTGGTCAAGGCAATTCGCTTGGCTGGCTCATGGCTGGCTCAGCTAGCTTGCTTGAGTTGGCAGGCCTCCTTGGCTGGAATGCAGAGAGGTCCTCCAGCTGGAGATTAGGCAGTGGCTCATTAGTTGAAGGCCCCTTCTACGGTTCTCCATGGTGGGCCCCAATGATGAGAGGAAGCCCATGGTTTTAAAAGATTTATTGTCATGGCAGAAAGTGAATGAAGCTGTACCTCATGTCCTCAGGGAGGGCATGAGGTTAAATATCTTTTGCAAGGAGGAGGGTCTGGGAAGGAATGCTTAATTGGCTGTGCCCTCTGGCCTTTAAGTATCTCATTAATAAGGAGTTCTCTTGAGACTCTGAGGCCTGTAGTCACACCCACTACCTGTGCCACCCGTGCTACTTGACCTAAGGCCACAAACCTTTCTTTGGGAGGGGCTGTGGATAAGTGAAAGGAACCAGGGCCCAGGAGCAAGGCCGAACTCGTACCGTCCTGTTGGGGGTCACTGGGGTTCATAGCAGACTCAGCTGCCTCTCACAGCCCACCTCCCCACACTTCTTCAGTGGCTTCTTGTTTTGCCCTCCTGTGCTGCTGTGATAGTTTGCATTTTAAGGGTTCTTCAAATAGGCCTGGGGTATATACAGCTCAGTGGAAGAGTGCTTCTGTAATGTGTGCATGTCCCCATCCCACCATCAGCACCAGAACAACAGGAAGACAAGTACTGCCCAGTCATTATAATTGTGTCTACATCATGGTGTCCTGGCTTGGTGTTTTTCATTCTTGCTCACACTTAATTACACATGTACTGTAACCTCTTTCTCATCTTCTTCCATTGATCATTGCTTTGTTACCTACAACAAGATCTTTTTTATGTTCTTTGGTCCATCTCTCAGTTAAGAAGCAATCACAGTCATGAAAGTTAAGCGTGCCAGCCTTCCCAAGAGCACTGGAGGTCAGAGTTCAGCTTGATATAGTGAAGGGCTGCTGTTCTAAAGTACAGAGTCCAAGCTGACTCTAGTTCCAAAATGTATTTTCTACAAATACATGTAAGATTAGTTAAAAGTATGTTTGTTATATGTAAATATAAATATATAAAACTAAATTAACTTCCAAAGAGGAAGGTTAATGTGGAACAACAGTTTGGTGACTGAGTTAGGTACTCTGAGAGCACTCCTGAATGCACAGTCATTTTTTCTAGTGGAGAGGCACACTTCAGACATGAGCTTCAAATGAGTATCTAGGGAACACTCATCAATCACATAGAAGTTTTGTATTGTAGAGATGTTTCAGAGATTTAAAACGTTTTGTTAAAATGTATAAGCCATGTTAGACCAGTCTTATTTTTATTTTTAACCCTGTTCCTTTTTGGGCTTCCCAATGTTGCACCTAAAACAGGGCTTTTCACACTGCTCAAGTAACAGTGGTTTCCTCAAATGAAGTATTCCCAGAAGGCTAATCTAAAAAGAGAAAAAAGACAGGTGGCTGAAATAAGGAGGAGCCTGGAGCCGGCTTCATTCCAGAGTCCCACAACAGTCTGTGGCATTGTAGGTAGCCTGGAGTTTGGGGAATGTCTTGAAAAATTACCACCCCAAGCTGCTTTGTCCTCCCCACTGCAGAACAGTGGAGATTAGGGAATAGGGGGTCTTTCTTCTGTCCTCCCTCCCTCCTTCTCTCTTTTCTCCTTCCCTCCCTCCTTCCCTCCCTCATTCCCTCCCTCCCTCCCTCCCTCCCTCCCTTCCTTCCTTCCATCTACTTTTTCTATTTTGAGATACAGTGTTGTCTTTCCCCTTTAGTTTAGAAAACATAGAGTGTTTGTAATCAGGCAGTTTATATAAGAAGAATCAAAAAGAAAATAGTGATGTGGGTTTTTCTTTGTGAATTGTCATTAGTTTGACAGTATTTATACAACTTAAGTTCTTACTACTTAATGATTCTGGTGTTGCATAATGAGGACTAGCTTAGAAAATTTGGTCAAGCCGAAATTTTTTTGTATACTAATTTGTATCCTAATTTTATTTGGTAACTTACTATCTAATAAAAATTTTAAACTTCATAAAGAACTTAAAAATACATTTCTTCAAAATTTGTGTTTTCAGTTTCACTTTTCCACCAGCATTTTGAGGCATGGACTCTGTATGCGGCTCATTCTAGCTTTAAACCTGTTCTTAGACTGTCCTCAAACTTGTCATCCTCCTGCCTCACTCCCTTGAGTGCTGAAGTTACTGACATATGCACCATACCCAGGGATTTATTTATTTATTTATGTCTTCTATTCTGGGGAACTTCTCAGAAGCAATTGTAGATATTTTTTCTCACTCTCAGTTCCTTTTTGCTCTTCCTGCCCCAACTTGTACACCTAAATTTTCACAAAAAATTTCAGTTGCCAGTTCTCCATGATCTCAGTTTATACTCTTGGAATACCCATAATGTATAATTTACCTTAAAAAGTCCTTTTGGGTTTTTTTTTCCTAAGACATGGTTTCTCTGTATGGCCCTTGCTGCCTGGAACTCAAGTCTGTAGACCAGACTAGGCTAGCCTTTTAAAAGGAGACTTTTAAAGAAAAGAATATTTCTTCTTATTCTAACATGTCAGATGATCACTGTTAATAGTATTCTGCACAAAGGATACTTGATCTCCTTTAGGGAGGATTAAACTAAACCATGCAGACTTTATTATTCTATGTAATCATGCTACTTAATAGCAGTCACTAAAATGTAGATACTTGAAGCAGTCCAGTTAAGTTTTAATTAGTTGAAACCATCTGTTCTTAACAGCAAGATAATATTTAAATAATGCAAAATGAAGTCATTGGATCACATGAGATGTCTGTAACTATCAGTATGCTTCTTTTCTACTTATAAAGGATTTATTTATATATTAATTTTATTTGGTTACTTATTTTCTACATTTTTTTCCTTTGGGAAGAAAAATCCTAGTGCAACTGTATTGGAAAATTTCTAAATATTTATTATGGTGATAACAAAGTATTTTTATTTTTTTCTGAGTAACTTTAGAATAATATCTCAGTAGCTCCCCTCTTTGCATGCACACACTCAGGTAGGTAGTAGGCAGGCAGTATTCTTCATGTATCATCCACCTTATATTTTGAAAGTGGATCTTGTGTCCACTTGCCCAGTGCTGGGGTAACAAGTGCACATCATCATTCCTGGCTTTTTATGTGCATTCTAGGGATTGAACTGCAGTCCTTATGCTTGCACACTAAGCACTTTACCATTGAGCTATTTCTGCATCCCAACTTCAAGATGATCCTAACCAAAAAAGCAAAGGTTTTTCAAGTGCAAATTCAATATAGTTAAAGCATATTTAGAAAGCATCTTGAGGGCAGTATAGAAGGAACTGAGACCACAAACAGTACACCGTGGAACTTGAGACACTGTCTTGATAGGTCCAATGGAGACATCTTGGAGATTTGATCTTTTTGAGGTTTTTGAGAGTTACTGAAGAGTCTTAACAGTGTCTGGTTTGCTTGTCACATTATTTGATATGAAAAGATCTTGTTCATTATAATAGTGGGCATTCTTTGAGATTTGATATTTCCGATTCATAAATTCAGATAACTTCCTCTTTTTAAGAAAGAAAGAGCAAACCCAAACTACTGCTAATCAAATGGCTACTTAGTTGTAGTTATGTAAGGAACCTAGTTTTGCTGTCGCTTTTATTTAAATTCAGTTGTAAAATATTTACAAACAATAGTCCAATACCTTTCTTAATTTTTCTCATCAGCAGGTCTTATTTTGACGTTGTATCTTATTTTAGCTGTGTGCTCTTTGTATAAACCTTGCTCAGTCTGCATGACATTAGTGTTTTCAGCCTGCTTTGTGTGGATGGCTTCTTACATTTGAGTGCTTATAATTGATAATTCAGAACAAATGAAATGTTGCAGCATAATGAAAACTGTTTTCAAAGATTTCTGCTATGATTTGTAATCCTAATTTATGAACCATTTTCAACAATTTATTTTTAATTTCTGACTTTTTTTTTTTTAGAAGTGGCACACCATCCCCAAAACGGACATCTGTGGGCTCCAGGCCACCAGCAGTCAGAGGCAGCAGAGACCGTTTTACTGGGGAGTCATACACAGTGCTGGGTAGGATAAACCATAATAGTTCTCAGATTAAAGGGCACATAGCCCACTGGTGGACTTCCTACTCACATCTAGAATGCCCGCCTGTATAGGGAACGAGTCTCTGTAGAAGTTTCTGTACTGAAACCTGAGTACTGGGAGACTTTTTCAGACTGACTTACTGAGACTTTTAAATCTCGGCTTCTGCTCATGTAGTATGCCTCATGAATATAACCTTTGAATGGATTCTAACAAAGAAAGGCTTTGAAGTATTTTATATGCATTGAAACGTACATAATATATGTAAATTTATAGCACATATTCTGCACTTAGCATCTGTTGTTGATGTGGTTATTTTCACTGACATAGAGTAGTTGAATTTAGTAGGTATGGTGAAATAAGTCTGTAATCCCAGTACTTATGGGCTGAGGTGGAAGGACTATGAGTTTATGGCTAGCCTGAGCTACATAGTGAGATTTAAAAAAAAAAAAAAAACTAAAAAGAAGTTGTTGGAGACCACATGATAAGTAAAAATCTGTGACTCATAAGGATGACAAAGTATCAAAACTTTTTTCTTATCTTTTATAGGAGACACTGCTATTGAAAATGGACAACATTATTGGGAAGTAAAGGCCCAGAAGGATTGTAAATCTTATAGCGTGGGTGTAGCATATAAAACTTTAGGCAAATTTGATCAGTTAGGAAAGACAAACACAAGTTGGTGCGTTCACGTCAACAGCTGGTTACAGAACACTTTTGCAGCCAAGCATAATAACAAGGTGAAAGCTTTGGATGTTCCTGTACCTGAGAAAATAGGTGTGTTTTGTGACTTTGATGGGGGTAAGTATACTTACTTTTCTAAAAAGACATTTCCCCATACTTGCTTGTATTTCAATATATTTTATGTATACAAAATAATATTTTTACTCCTGTGAAAGTATATGGGAATATTGTTCTTTTTTCTCTTCCTATTTGATGGTAGTTTTATAGGAACAGCTTTCAAAGAAAATGAGAAACTGAACAAAGCATCTACATTTAGAATAGTTGAAAAACAGATGAATGATATCAACACGGTTAGGATACAGATGAAGAAGAGAGCCATCGAGGGGACCTCCAGAAGGACAACAGGTGCTAGGCTGAACAGTTAGCAAGTGAGCTGTAAGGATAAGAGACGGTGAAAGGGGACAGGGACTTCCAAGTCCACAGAGCTGAAGCAGCGGACACTACACTGGGAATTTATGGAGTGTATGTGGGCTTACGCAGGTGGAAGACAGATGAAGTAAAGTTTAAAAGCTGATAGAATTTGGCACAGTCAATATAAAAAGGAAGAGATCTTAGCATCTAGTGAGCTCATAAAGCTTTTTGTTTGATGATGATCAGTTGGTGTAGAGTAAGAATAGTGTAATTGGGTGGATGCAATGGGAATTCTCTTTCTGAACTATGAATTTTTAATCATTACAGCTAGACTTGAATACTTTTTTGCTAATCTAAGTAGGAACCATTAAAATCAATAACTTTTGCCAATAAGAAGTATTTGTTTGTTCATGTAGTATAAAAATCTGCACTTCAGGGATTTGACTAGTCTTCATCCTGTTGATTAAAGAATTGTTTTTATTGCAAAAAGTTCTCTAGGTGCTTGAACAAGTAGTAGTGAGTTGTTGGGTGGATGTGGTAAACAAAACTTGTTGCCCATTCTTTCTATTTTAAGGCATTGGCTGTTTGATATAAGATAAGGCAATGTTGTTAAGAATTGGGCCCTTTCTCTTAATCAGTGCCAGCTGCAGGCACTGCAGGTTTTGATGCATCTCATGGTTTTGCTAAGCATGATTCTCAAGTGTAATGGTTTTGCTGCATTCATCAGACAAGCAGCAGAGTGCCAAGCAGTAACCATGACTTTGTGAGAGAGGGAAGAGCACACATGCATGCACCTGCTTTAGCTCTCAGGAGTATCTTTGGTTTGACCACTGAGCAAATCTTCATCAGTTGTCAGAGCACTCCTCATTTCCTCACACATGACGATCAGAGTGAGAAATGGTAGTTTACACAGAGTAAGAGAAGACAGCAGTTCAAATGACTGTTTTCATTTTACATCATCTTAAGAAGCACCCACTTACCACGTCTTTTCACATTTCCAGTTGCTTCAAGTGCACTCTACCATTGAATGGTCCACGTTGAGTTGCTCTGCATCTCAACAGTGTTGTCTTCAAGTCCCTTCCTTCTGCAAAATGTCTTACCCAACCACTGTCTGCAGGTTCACTGGCAGTTCCCAGACCACATGCATTACTGATGAGGGCTGTAGCTGCTGCTTTACAACCAGTTTGAACTTGGATGAGAATCATTTCCATAGTATAAAGTAAATATAAAACAAATAGCAAATATTATCAGTAGCAAAAATATACAGAAATGTGCATTAAAGTGGTATATAACATAAACATAATTATTTTTAAGAATGTATTCTAATAATGACAAATTTCAACAAAGCAAAAACTACAATTACTTCTGTACCAACTTAATAGATTATGGAGATATTTCCTGGTCTTGATGACTAGGAAAAAACAGATTTAAGATTTTATCCTTATGTTTGATATTTTTATAAGAACTGTTAAGTATGGTTCATATAGCCTGTAACAAAGATTAAGGTTAAAATACATCTTTTGGCATACTCATCTGTTTAACTTAGATGCTTTAACTTTAAATAATAAATTAGACATTTTTATCTTTTTAGGTCAGCTTTCATTTTATGATGCACACTCAAAGCAGTTGCTGTATTCCTTCAAGACAAAATTTACTCAGCCAGTAGTACCTGGTTTCATGGTTAGTATCTTATTTATGGCTTAGCAATTTTGAGGATGATCTTTGCTATACTTTTGATGAAACCGCGTACTTACTCCCTTTGACTTCATTTCCTTTTCCCCAACCCACCCTTTCCAAAACGTGATTTCTTTCCATATGTTTTCAGTATGTTTTATTAAAGTCAGTACTAACATTACAAAGGTATAGGAGTCACAAATGACTATTTACATTTACTCATTGTTGGAACTGTTACCCGAGCAAGGAGTGCAGCCTCACTGTGCCCTGTACCCATGTTCATTCTCTAAGTGGTTCTTCTGGAAGGGTTAGCCCTTGTCTTAGACTTTAATGCTGCCAATTCATTTAGCTTCCTGTTTGGTTTTAGGGAGTTATACAGTATCTTTTTGGCTCAGCTGTACATGTGTAAGATTTTTCTATGGTCTGCATGGTTTTAGTTTGTTCACTGTTCTTAGATCAACATAACTTTCCGGGATATGATGCATCAGTCTATTGAGTGCCATTTAGGTTGAGTTTTTTATGTGGTATCATCCATTTGAGGGTATGACACACATGCATGGTTTCAGGACTGCTCAGTTGCATGCTGATTTGTGAAGAATAATCATGTTTCTTCACATAAAATGAAATATGTCTTTAATTTTTTAGTACAATGTTATTGTTGCTCTTAACACCATAGCTGTTTGCTTTCCTCTGTTAAAATTAGGTTGATGTTAGGAGTTCTGAGATCCACTAAGGTTTCCTTGGTTTGAATAAAACTTTTCTAAGTGTTGGGGAGCTACCTCTCCAGTCTGGATGGTACATTTTTAGGCCACTGTGTGGGTTGTTCCACATGCATTCTCTTCCATCTTTACTGCAGGTATAACCCTCCATCTGAGGAGAAAGTGTTCAGGATATGTGTGGATTTAGAATGTTTATTTACTTTTAAAATTCACAATCAAAATTTTACTCCTGACACCTTAAAATCTTAAACTTAAAGTAATCCTGATGGCCAGTGCTCTCCATTTTTCATTAAAACATAAAGGTGATTAATGAACAAAAATGGGTACAGGGCATGGTGAGGCTTGTTGCGCATGGTAAATTCTTTTTTTTTTTTTCCAAGACAGAGTTTCTCTGTATATCCCTGGATGTCCTGGAACTCACTCTGTAGACCAGGCTGGCCTCAAACTCAGAAATCCACCTGCCTCTGCCTCCCAAGTGCTGGGATTAAAGACGTGCGCCGCCGCCACCACCTGGCGGAGAATTCTTAAAGATATATTGGGAGAGTTATTTCATTTCACTTTCTGAACTTTGCCACAGACCTCTACTTTAATACATATTTTAAGCTATTTCCCAATGAATCCATTGAAGACAAATTGTTTACCATATATAACTCAGAGCTATACTTTTACAAAATATCTCATTTTTAATTTGAATGTATCTTACATGGATATTTATCAAGTTTATCCATTGTTTTTCATTCCAAATAATTATAATTATGCAATAATATAGATAACCTGAGGAAACTGTTTTAAACTTGTTAAACCTCTTTACTTCCCTTCCTTGGAAGCCTAGTTTTATTAGTGTGATGGATGTTGTTTGCACATGATGTTAATTTTTAAAGTTAGGTTTATTAAGTTATAATTTACATATACTATTTGTATATGTATGAGCTTTGCTAGATGCTTACAGACATATAACCACTACCGTAAGTCAGGATTTGGAACAGTTAGCACTGTAGGAAGTTCTAGCATCCTCCCATATAGAAAGGCCTTTTCCATCACTAACAATAAGCAGTCACCCAAACAATAAGCAGGACATTTTCCCGTCCTGTGGTTTGGGCTGTAGAGGCCGTCCTGTAGATGGAGGTGCATGGCATACAGCCTGTGATGCTGCCACACAGCACATGGGAATTTGAGCCTCACTGCCCTGTGTGTCACTCGGGCTGCTTCTCACCTGCTGAGTAGTCGGTCATGATTGTGTGTGCTGTGGAATGAAGCCAGGGCCTGCACATGCTGAGAGGGCACTCCACCATGAGCTTATTTCCTACCTCACATTATTTTGAAACAAGGTCTCTTTGTAGACTAGTCTGGCCTGAAATCCTGCCTTGCTTGGGTTATAGGTGTGGGCATCATGCTTGGTTTCTGCCACAATTTATGTTTATTTACCAATCTAAGGACACTTGGTTTTATGTCTAGTTTGGACAACAAATAAATAATATAAATAAAGACACTATAAGTATTCACATAGGTATTTTTGTATGGACATATGGTTGCTTTTCCTTTCAGCAACAAGGTTGTTTAATCACATTGAAATTTTATGCTTAATTTTCAAAGAAGCTGTCAAAATATATTCCAGAGTGGCTATTACATATTTGCATTGCTGGAAGCAACATGTGAAAGTTCATCATACCTTTCCCATTTTATTATCATGTTCTCACTTGTTTCTTCAAGTTTTATATTTTTAAGTTTGACATTTAAGTCTTGAATTGATCTCTTTTGTGTTGATTTTTGTATACAGCCTGGCTCAAGATTCTTTTTTTTCTCTTTGCCCATGAATAGCCACTTCCTCTAGTACTGTTTACTTTTTAAAAAATGTGACCTTTCTCTATTGTTTTACTTTGTACTTTTCTGCTAGATTTTTTCAAAATTAAAAAAAAACTATTTTATGTGTATGAGGGTTTTCCCTACATTATTTATTATTATTATTATTATTATTATTATTATTATTCACCTTGACACAAACCAGAATTAACTGGGAAGAGGAAACCTCAGTTGAGAAAAAGCCTTTATCAGACTGGGCTGTAGACAAGCCTGTCCAATGTCGTCTTGATAAATGTTTGATATGGGAGAGCCAATTCATTGGTAGTGTTGCCATCCCTAGGCAAGTTTTATTGGGTTGTATAAGAAAGCAATCTAAACAAGTGCTGAGGAGTTAGTAAGCAGCGTTCCTCTATGGCTTCTGCTTTAGTTGCCTGCCTCTAGGTTCTTGCCTTGAGTTTCTGCTCTGACTTCCTTTGATGATGGACTATGATGCAGAATATAAGATGTAGCCGCCTGTGGCCACGAGTTGAACGAAAGGGGGACGGAAAGCGAGAAAAGATGAAGCCAAGACAAAGTTCTCTGATCAAGGCTCGATGGTTTAATGTTAAGCTTTCAATTTAAAGGGGAAGACCCCACCTGAACCCTTCCTAGTTTCAGCCAGGAGAGATGGGTGGGATAATCCATTCTTGGTCATGGGTCTCGGCCAGAGATATCTCAAGGCAAGCCCAGGGGCAGTTCTTCTTTCAAGTTCCTGTAGCAGGATCTACATGCAGCCAAGGTGGGTGACTCCACCTAGGTGTCTATTGATATGCAGCCAAGGTGGTTAGTTCCACCTAGGTCCTATTATCTGGTCTCTTGTGGTAAACAAGGTCTCAGGCCTGCTCAAGGCTGGAGGAAGGGCACAATAAGATAAACTTCCTCCCCAAGTTCATAGTGTTCTACTACCACAGCATTAGAAACCCTAAGTAAGCAGTAAATGAATGTCCACCTCATTCATACCTGGTGATATAAAGGTCAGAAGAGGTCACCAGATCCCCTGGAACTGAAGTTACAGAGGGTCAAAACCACCATGAGGGTGCTGGGAATCAAACCCAATCATCTGGAAGCAACTGGTACTCTGGATTGCTGAGCCATTTCCCCAGCCCTTCTCTGCCGGATATTTTTTAAATTTTTTTTAAATTTATTTTCTCACATATTACATCCCAACTACAGTTTCCCCTCCCTTGTCTCCAGTCCCTCCACCATCCACTCCTTCATTTCCCTTCAGAAAGGGGCAAGCCTCCCAGGGATATCTACTAAACAAGGCATATCAAATTGCAATAAAACTAGACACCTCTCTTCATATTAAAGTTGGATTAAACAACTCAGTTGGAGGGAAAGGGTTCTAAAAGTAGGCAAAAGGTGCAAAGACAGCCCCACTCCCACTGTTAGGAGGCCCACAAGAACTCCAAGCTACACAGCCATAACATGTGCACAGAGGACCTGATTCAGACCCATTCAGAAACTCTGGTTGTTGGTTCACTGTGAGCCCAGATTAGTTGATGTTGTGCATTTTCTTGTGATGTCCTTGACTCTTCCTACAATCCTTCCTCCCCCTCTTCCACAGCATTCCCCAAACTCTGCCTAGTGTGTGGCTGTGGATCTCTGTATCTCTTCCCATCAGTTGCTGGGTGGAGCCTCTCTGATGATGATTATGCTAGGCTCTTGTCTACCAGGATAGCAGAATATCATTAGGAATCAGCTTATTGACTTTTTTGTCTGATGTGTTTGGACCTGTCCTGGGGATCTGGGCTATCCAGCCTCTAGTTCCTGGCCATCCAGGCTGTGTCAGGGGTTGGCATGTCTGTCAAGCTAGACCAGTCATAGGTTGGCTGTTCCCCTGGTTTCTGCACCACCTTTACCATAACACAATTTGTAGGCAGAACAAATTGTAGGTCGAAGGTTTTGAGGCTGGGTCAGTTATCCCAATCCCTCCACTGGAAGTCTCGTCTGGTTACAGGAGATAGCTGCTTCAGCTTCCATATTCCTCTTACCAGGAGTCTTAGCTAGGGTCATCCTCATAGGTTCCTGCATAGTGTTCTACTGCACTAATTCTACCTTGTTCCCCAAAGTGTCCCACAATTCTAGTTGTCTCTCTCAGTGTTCTCTCCCTCCATCTTCCCCCAACCTGATTACTCTTGTTCCTGTCCCCACTTGCCCCAGTCTACTTGAGATATCTATTCTATTTCCCTTTCCAGAAAGAGTTATGCATTTTCCTGTTGATCCCCCCTTGTTACTCAACCTCTCTGAGTCTATGGATTATATATGGTTATCCTTTACAGCTAATATCCACTTATAAGTGAGTACATACCATGTTTGTCTTTCTGGGTCTGGGTTACCTCACTCAGGATGGTTTTCTTCTAGTTCCATCCATTTGCCTGCAAATTTCATGATGTCATTTTTTTAACAACTGAGTCATAAATACTCCATTTGTAAAGGAAACACATTTTCTTTATCCATTCTTCAGTTGTGGGACATCTAAGTTGTTTCCAGTTTCTGTCTGTTATGAGTAAAGGTGCTATGAACATAGTTGAACAAGTGTCTTTGTGGAATGGTGGAGAATCTTTTGGCTATATGCCCAGAAGTGGTATAGCTGGATCTTGAGATGGACTGATTCCAAATTTTCTGAGACCACCATTTTGATTTCCAAAGTGGCTGTGTAAGTTTGCACTCCCAACAACAGTGGAGGATTATTATTCTTGCTGTACATCCTGGCCAGCATAAGCCTTTACTTGTATTTTTGATCTTAGCCTTCTGACAGGTGTAAGGTGGAATCTCAGAGTAGTTTTAATTTGCATTAAATTAAATGCTTATGGATGATGGCTGTGGATGTTGAATATTTAAGTGTTTCTTGTCCATTTGTGAGTCCTCTACTCAGAATTTTATTTAAATCTGTACCCCATTTTTAATTGGATTATCTGGTTTGATGATGTCTAATTTCTTTTTTTTTTTTGATGTCTAATTTCTTGAGTTCTTTATATATTTTGGAAATTAGCCCTCTATCAGATGTGGAGTTGTTGAAAATCTTTTTTCATTCTGTAGGCTGCCATTTTGTTCTATTGATGGTGCCCTTTGCCTTACAAAAGCTTTTCAGTTTCATGAGGTCCCATTTAGTAACTGTAGATCTTAGGACCTGTGTGATTGGTGTTTTGTTCAAGGCAGTTGTCTCACTGTCCTATCTAAAGCCATGTCTCAATATTAAAGTCATGAGTGAGATAAGCTTCTTTGAGATACAGTCCCCTGGTTGTGAAGGCTAGGGAAGTACCAATAGTTATTGCTCACTGAGGTTAATCCAGTTTGTCCTCTTGAGTTTCTGCTGCCCTGTATTACCTTTCCCGGGTGCAGATTCAAGTGGCTTCTGCTATTACACAGTCGCCCTTGGCCTCTGTGAGCCTTTTCATCTTTCCTCATCTCAAACATGAAGGTTATCAATTTGGGTTTTGTTGATGTTCATACATGTGACATTTTGCCTTTCAAGTGGCAAGTTAAGGATTACTGGAGTTATAATTGGATTTGAGTCTAACTGAGGCTTTGTTTTTATCTCTTCTTAGGTTTGGTGTGGTGGACTTTCTTTGAGTACTGGAATGCAGGTTCCAAGTGCTGTGAGAACACTTCAGAAAAGTGAAAACGGAATGACTGGTTCAACAAGCAGCCTAAACAATGTCACTCAGTAATGGCAACTCAGACTGTGTTTTCCCTTCCTCTGACTGTGTGGCCTTTCCCATACAGTTACTAACAGATACTTCTGAGTGGTGGAAATCAGGTTTTCTATGTTCTGCTTTAAAGCCTGGAATCTGTTAGATTAACTACCAAATAGGAAGCAGCAACAGGTTATTGCTGTGTCCCAGAACCAAGCAGTTGGGGTGCAGGAGGCTGACATAGTGGTATTTGAATAGTAAATAGGAAAGGAGAAGTGTTGAAATATTTATGTAAAAAGCCATTTTTCTGTTTCGTAAGCTGCTCTGGCTTGTCTAGTAGGTGTGATTCTGTCTGGTGTGTCCTGGCCCTGGGTTGCAGAGCTTTTCAAGCTTACCTCTCTTCTCCTTGTCAAGTTTCTTTCTCCTCACTGGCTGCCATTAAGTCCTACACTGAGGCTTTCAAACTATAAGGTCCCCTAAGGCTTCCTAGAAATTGAAATCTTTGCCGAGGGATGGCAGAGAAATTGTCCTATGGTGGCTTATTTTATTCTTTCATAAATAAGCTGAGCTTTTGATTGGGTAACTTAATGTATTGACTATATTCATATCATTTTCTTCTCTAAAATATTGTGGTGTTTTCTTATAACCCAAAATATCAAGCAGATGGAGAATTTAGGCAGTGCAAGGGAGTGTTCTTTGTGTTTGTGCTGAGTCATACTGTCTAGTCGTCCATGGGCTCCTGGTCTCCACTTGAGAAGCTGTGTCTCTGTGTCTGTCCTCCGTTTTAACCCCACCTTTATAGCTGTCTTTGTATCTTTGATAAAACTTCCACTTGAATTTGGCACTGATAATAATTATTGCTTATGGAAGTTTGTAAATTAAGTTCTATAAAGGGTAAAAAGCTATATATTGCTGGTTTTTGTCTGTGAAAGATTATAAAGAAATGTGCCTGATGTATTCTTTTCTGGAATAAGTTATGTGTTCTTTTACAAAGATATGGATTGGTTTAACCAGCTGTGTAAAAAAATACATGTGTCCTACTTAATTGGTATATGTGTCTTCAAACAATCATTTGAGGGTTTTTTTGTTGTTGTTTTGATTTGGTTTTTGTTTCTGTCTTTTTGGTCCATTCATTCACTGTTTAAAAGTTTAGGGTTCTTTCAAAAATGAACAGAGTTTTCTTTTCCCAAATCTGAAGGAATGTGTGAGGCAGTGAGTAGAACCTGTGGTTACTGACAGGAAACCTTTTGTTACAAAGGTGATTCAAACTTTTAACTCAAGGTTTCTGAGCCAAACTAGAAGTTGAAACTATAACGCTGCTTTCAGAACTTTAAAGAAATGAATATTTGACTTTTGATTAACTTTTGAGACTTTTAAGTCTCTTCTTGTTTTAAGTATCTTGGGCTTCTGACAAACTTCCCTGGAGAAGTGTTTGTTTTTGCTTTCTTTGTGTAGCTTGTAGGATCATAATAAGTATTTGTTCTTAAAATGTACTGCTTACTTGCATGATTGTTTTTGTTCTGTTAATGAAACAAATTTGACATAGAATATTATTTTTCCATATAACAAATATCTATACAATTGTCTGATAACACACTGGTAGTTTTTAAGACTAAATTAGTTTATAGGATGAAGTATATCAGTATTCTTTTGGTTCCCCAAAGCAATATTTTACTTTTCATTTATTATAGTTTGAAAGATATTTTTCATTGTTCCACTACCTATAGAAATGGTATTTCATGACCTAAGGAAAAAGGAGTTACTTCCTTTTGTATACTCATACCTGAAAGCAGTGATTTACTGGAATTGCTTTGTGTGGCTACTAAGTTTGTCAAAAATGACATGGAAAAAGCCAACTGTTCTTGTATAGAACTTTTCATTATGATGTTATATCTTGGATAGTTATATCTTCTCATTGATACAGTGCCTTTTTCTCATGCTCATTGTCTACTGACTCTAAGGCAGGCCACACTGTACCATAGTGGTGAGGGCCTTCTATTGAGGCCAGAGGAACACATGTGCTTCTTCCTTGTCCTGGTCCCATCGTTTGAGATCTTCATCTACAATTTCCAGACAGTCATTAGAAAATGCACGACTTTTACTGGAAGGTTTTATTTCTCAGCAGATTTGTAGATCAAAGTATAAAGTCAGTGAATAAGAGACCAGGTTCTTATCATGTGATATTAGGTACTAATTATACCTTCATTGCTTTAAAAATAAACATCAGGGCCTCTTTTTAAAAAAGAACAAATCTGTTGTATTTTAGTTTAAGAATCTTAAGTTTATTATATTAAATTGAATTTTGTCAACCCTTCTTTTTAAATTAAAATAATTGAATAGAGTGCCTAGTTAAATCATCTTGAAGCAAGGTAACTATTAACTCGATCATAATATGTAACATTCTTTTAACATTAGGTTGAAATAGCTGAGCTTCTCTGCTCACATTAGTCTGCTGTGGAAAGCTAACAAGCCCTTCATTGCTCTACGTCTGCTTGCACAGCTTGGACATGACTGCTTTTCATGAAGGAACTATAGGGGAGGTGGACTGTAAGGGATATATCACCGGTATGAAAACTGTTTCATAAAATATGTATTAAGTATTGTATTTCCTTCTTAGCAGTTGAATTCCAAACCAGTTTCATTTAGCTGGAAATAGACAGGAAAGAGCTGCCTTAAGCACTTTAGAAAAAGAATTTGCTACAATTCATTTGACTCAGCTGATTGTGTCACATCTTTTAAATACTGGTGAATATGTATAAACCAAGTATTTAATGACTAATGCACATAGAAATTTAATATACAGTGATCTTTTGAATGTTCTGAGTATAGGCTTTTGAAAAAGTGTTGAGTGTGTGTCTGTGAGTTTAATTGATAGTACCTCTACCATGTTACAGTAAACTGCTGAACAGCCATGCTGGGCCTTCTCACTCTGTTCTGAATATTCTAAAAAACGCAAACTATAAACAATATTATGTATAATTTGAACTTCCATGATTGATCCTTGATATAAATAATAAAAGAAAATATTTATGATGAAATATTTTAATTAGGTCAATTACCTAGAATGACCTAGTTTTTTCTATATATCTTTTCCATGAAATTATAGCTATTTATGTATTTGCAGTTGTTTCTTTCAAAAAACAATTTTAAAAAAGATTGGAAAGGGATATATATGGGAAGTGATTACTAATCTTAAAAGAAGACAGTATAGACCCCTTACCATGAAATACATTACTCTAGGCTAAAATTTCAACTGTTTTAGTCATAGAATCTTAGCATCTTACTTAGATCAGCATATAATTCATATAACAGTATTTAAGTTTTTATGATGTAACATCAATTTTATTACTTTATGTCTAGGTTTCCAAAAGTAGTAGAGTTTAATTCACCATATGAATGTCATTCTACTATTTTTGATTTGATAGTCTTGATCTAAAAATAATGTTTGGTTAATATGTCACTAAATTTCTAAAAACAGCATTCATGGCCTGGCAAGATGGCTTACAAGAAAAGCAGTTGTTTCCAACAGGATGGCTTGAGTTTGTTCCCTGGAACCCAAATGGAAGGGGAGACTTATCTCCTGCAAGCTGTCTTTTGACCTACATGTGTGCATGCATGCACACACACACACACACACACACACACACACACACAAACAAAATTTTTTAAAAATACATTTGTTGTAGCTTGTAAAAATAACTATCAAATTTACTACACATAGTAATATTTCACTTTTATATTGTAATAGAAAGTTTGGAAAAGTATCTTTCCTTGTTTTATTTTTGCATCATATTCATTCAGTCAGAGGTAAGCATGAATTTACTCAGTATCCATGTCACCATCAAGTTGTTATTTTCAACCAAGTATATCTTTCATAACTTCACCGCTCAGAACTAAAGAGGTAATAAAGCTTTTCTTACAGAAAATCATCCCAGCAACATTACCTCATGTTTGGTATTTTTATTTTTTTGTGTCTCGTCACAGTGTTCACATTTGTGATGTCAGTATTGTGTTACCTGAGTGGTGTGATAATCTGAATACCATAGGAACTTTGCACCAGTTGGAATTTAAGTGGATTGTTTGCTGCTTTTGTTCACATTAGAACATTAGACATGCCATATGATAATAATACTGGCTTAGGAATCAATATCAGAAATTACCATAGAACTTTTATCTTGACTACCTAACCATATCAAAAGAGTACTTTTTTCTGGGTTAATAATCATAGCTTTGGTACATAATCATTTAAGTTATATTTGTTTAAAATTAGATATTTTCTTAGTAATAGTCAAATTAAGTTGGTGCTTTGAAGTTTTTGCAGTATGTAGGGCAGAGGTCAGTGAATGTATTTGCTTGGATTGGAACTTAAGATTGAATCAATTTTACAATAAATCAAATTAGAAGAAATTGGTAAAAGGCATTTTAGTAATACTGGAACATTTTGGAAAGTTCAGGACTGTGATAAAGAATTTCTTATTAATATTTCCAATATCTGTAAGTTACCAAAGGACTGAGACTAACTGATCTTTTAATAGAACCTCTTTGAAATCAAATCCATAACCAATTCTATTAAGATACAATAATTAAAGTTGGGGAATAACTTAAGACAAAAGTTCCAAGTCTTTAAGATTTTTGGCATTCTTTTAAGTATTTAAACTTAATCTTCATAGCTGCCCCATACAGTAATCTATGACCTCTGAATCACTCATCAACCATGGGCCTCTATTGCCTTACTTAATATATTGTACCTTGTTTAGCCTACCTCACAGGGCTGTTGTGAGGAGTGTAGTGAAATGGACTCTGATGTGAACGGGGTGATTTTCACTACGAATGCCTGTGTTTGGATACTTGTAAATGCTGTTTAGTTAGAAAAGGCATATTCTTAAGTTGGTATAAGCAGTGATTTTAAATGATTTTTAAAAATAAGATGTCCTTTAGTATCAATTTACTTTGTGCATGATTGTTTTCATGTTTCTCATCAACTACACAACTTTTCCGAGTTGTACAGTCTACTACAGTGTTCATGTGTAGAGGGGAAGCCTACATAAGCAAATTGCTTCAGCTCCTTTTCCACCAGGAGTTTGTACTTGCATTTAGAATAGCCGTGGCCCCATGCAGAGTGAATTTCCCTGAAAGACTTTTTCCAACAACCAAGTGGTTCAACAATTTGTTGCATTTGACAAATATTGATCAACTTTATTGACTTGTACTTTTTATTAAAAAAGAAACATTTCAAAACCTTGTTCATTAACCTATATCAGCTATTATGTGTCTGGACATAGTTGAGTTGCTCTAAAGTGGATGTTTTAAATGATTTACAAGTTATCCTACTCCAAAGGATTTTGGTCTGTTTGTTATCTGAACATGATTTTGCTATGCAGTCGTGATAATAAAAATTACAGCTCCTCAGGTTTAACCTCTTAAGTTGTGGATGAAGACTATTAATAAACTACACATGATATATTCAGTGCTGCAGGAGTGTTTGAAATGAGCACACTGTCTCATTCTCCTTACAAACAATACGAATCCTTTTAAATGATTTTTTTACACTTAAAAAATGGTTATTCAAAGTGTAGCAACTTGTCTGTTAAGATGATTGTATGTTCTGTACAAAATGTTCCCCTTGACGTTTTTACAAAAGCACCTGTATTATCCCTTCTAAAAATTAAACCTTTTTTTGCTTTATTTTGTGTCAGTGTTTTATTTTTATCAACTTTTATTAAAATATCTGTAGTTGTTTATTAATAAAGAGAATGTTTAAAAAGCCATTGTCTCATTTCCTCAAAATATGTTAGACAATGCTGTTTAACAGTGTTTTATGTAATGATGGGAAAACCAGTAGCCAGTAGTCAGTAGCCACAGGCAGCTACTGTGAAGAATGTACTAGTCAGTTGAATTTTTAAATTTATATTAATTTAAAATAAGTACATTTCACTAGTAGCTCATTAAAGATGTAATAGCGCCTCACATCCTAGGTTACATTTTTGTAGAGGGATCACTAAGAGAGTCAGACCCAGAACCCAGTCCTTTTTACAATATGTATTCTAACCT